GGCACCTGTACTGCCTTCTTTTCCTGGGGCGGGGGGGACAAATTTTCCTACATCCAGTCTCCCCAGATTGTTTCTCAGTTTAGATTGCATTAGTGGCGGGTTGGACCTCTTCCCCTACCGAAGAGGTTATTGCTGTTGGAAACTATATTACCACTTCAGTGGTCTCTGAATTCGAGTTTTTAATGAATAGGCCTTTTATTAAAATCCTATGCAGGGTCTCATTCATAGCTTGTGGCCATGATTTTCTTTCTGCAGATTAATAGAGGGCCCTCAAATTAAGTCTCCTCAGAAGTGCATGAATCTAAAGTATTCTGTTCCCTTTGTTTCAGTTCCTACTTTTCTCTTCTCCCCTGCCCTTTGTTGAGAGAATCCCCCCCCTTCTTGCTTGGATTGACTCCAACTCTTCCTTCCAAATCCGGTTCTCACTGATTTCCTTTGTCCCCTTTTCCACACTGAGAAATAAGGGCAAGGGCACAAATGTGTGTGAGCTTGGCAGAAGATGACTGATCAAGTCATGAACCTCTCATCTCTACCTGCTGTTGATAACTATATTTGCAAAACATCCTTAGAAATTGAGATAACTTTAGGATACCTTTCAGCTGGGATCATTTTCACACTCTTTCCAAAAAAGTTAAAATCCATTTTATTTTTTGTTCAAATTTTTTCTTTTTCTCTTTGTTTTTTACTGCCCTGGTAACCATTTAAAGCAATGAAATACCAAAGAAGATTTCCCTGAAATCTGGGATGTAGCAGATTAAGCCAGATTCCTCTTCAGTTCAGTTGTCTCCCAACCACAGCACACTCTGACTCACAGCATGCAACTCACTTTTGCAAGACTTCCCATCACTGCCAAGGCTGAATCCTGACCGGCACCGGCATGTCCGAGTTTTGTGGCTATTTCCAAGGAGACAGATGTCAGAACAGCCACCTGGTTTTCCAAACTGGTCCGTTTCACAGGCATGACTCCTCACTAATAACAAAGAAAAACTCCCATTCAGTTCATGATAACAGTTATCTATTTCAGTTGTATTCTACTGTGATGTTTAAGACTGATCATGAGCAACAAGGGCATGTATAGACAACCTTGGTGGTTATACCATAATTATATGGTGGTAGGGTATTAATGCCTACAGCTGAATTGTTGGAGATACTCTAGAACAAAGTCAACAGCTGTGTGGATTTGAATTTATACAACATCTATTCATACTATGTTTTATTTATCTGGTGCCTTTGTAGTCAGTGTTGACTCCTGGCGATTGCCTAGATAAGTCCCTGCAGTTTTCTTGAGTAGTTTGCCAGAAGTGATTTGCCCTTGCCTGCTTCCGAGGGCTGAGAGAGAGGGACTAGCCCAAAGTCACCCAGCTGGCTTTGTGCCTGAGGCAGGACTAGAATTCCTGGTCTCCCAGTTTCTAGTCTGGGGCCCTAATCACTACACCAAACTGGCTCTCGATTCACACTATGTACATTGTTCATAAATATCAGTGAGCTCCTGGACTTCAATGTGACCTAAAGCCTCAACATTTTCTTCTTGGCTAAAAGGCTAACAAGTTGCTGAAATTCCTGCCAAGCATACATCTAACGTGGTATTTCAGAGCAAAGAGAAATTATG